CACACACACACACACACACACACACACACACACACACACACACACACACGAAAATACATGCACACGTAAGATCGACCTGCAAACTGAGGGGGTCCAGACAGTGAAGTGGAGGGTGGTTAAAGATAAGTGCATAAGTGTATAGAAGAAAGAGAACTTCAAAAAGACAAAAAAAAAAATCACGTCCAATCACACTGCTGAAAGAGAGAGAGAGAGAGAGAGAGAGAGAGAGAGAGAGAGAGAATAAATCTGAGCGAGGTGTCTGACTGCTGGTGTCCACTAAGCAGCGCTCCGAGTCCGGATGGACACGTGTCTCATCCCCGGGACCACGTCGCTCGGACGCCACCCCCCCCCCCCAACACCACCCACGCCAAGGTCTGCGTCTGATTTATTGCCTCCAATCAAACGCACCATGCACTAACTTAACACTTTCACACCGACCCGGGAAACTAGCATAGCCATAAAAGCATTAAGACGCTGCTCCCCCCTTTCTCTTAAAGAGAGTCTCAGTAACCCCTGCTTGACTTCCGTATATACACGCACACACATCGGAATAGGCCAAAATTCAAGTTTTGACCTCATGTTATTTATTAATTTATTAATTAATTTATTAATTAATTTATTTTTATTTTTATTTTTTCTTACACTAACTTTAATTACTTTTTTTTTAAATTCTGGACGCATGCTGGCAGCGCGCTGGAGCCAATTCAATTTGTAGGTGCTGTAAAAAGAGGGCAATCACACACGAGTGACTTGAGGGCTGATGTTTTGTAGAGAGCTCTTTGAAGGTAATTATGCAGATGACACAATTTCCCATTCTCATAAGCAAACATACACGGCCTATCGCTCAACAGTAGTTCCTTATGCAATACACAGGGCACCAGCGACACGTCGCAAATGATGAACCGAGGCTCTGCAAAATAGGCGAGATCAAAGGCTTCAAACAGAGGCACTTCAAATTACACATTTAGATCTTTCCCATAACGCTCCGCCCGGTGACAGAAAAAAAAACTAAAAACATCTTTTATCAAAAAGAAAACGCAATTAATGACCGTTGGACGCTTTTGGTAGTTTGAGTGTGTGTGTGTGTGTGTGTGTGTGTGCGTGAGAGAGAGAGAGAGATTTCTGTACTTGCTTGACAAAGCAGCTCTCGTTTTGTTAAGCAGTTCTTGAAAGGGGACCAGAGCCAGCAGTAGTATTTGCTGAGTTTGTTATACTCACCCGAATTTGGCATCTTCAATTTCAGGAGGATTGCTGCTGTACATATTATACAGTGTATAAGATATAGTGCAGTGGAGTGATTTACAGCTTTTTCGATGTGATCATGAAAAGCTACCGGTCAGCTGAAGCTATTAAATAAACTGCAATATATTTGACGTCTGTCCGAATGATGAAACTAAATAATAAACCTTGCAGGAAAAAGTCTCAGTGTAATTCATGGAAGTGACTATTGGTATTATCATATCTTATTACAAAGCAATTATCCTTAGCTGTTGGGAATATACATACTGTACATCAAAAATGTTCCTCAGCGGTTTCAAACTTAAATCTGTGGCTAACCTAAAAAACTAACTGCAACACATTCAATCTCCGAATAAGCTCTTTCAAACTCATGTCCCATTAGGGTGAAATAAAGGTCCAATAAATCTTGCAGTGTTTAAAGAACAGTGAAGCTTAATCCAATAAATGAATTAGTTTCTAAAAATTAATTGTTCTTAGCAGCAGAAGCAAGTGTACTTTGAAATACATTTAAAGTTTAATTTTTTTCCCTGTTAGAATAATTTCAATAGTATGATTTTAATTACATTACACCAACCAATCATGCATATTAAATAGATAGCCTAACTTTGATTTGCATTAGTGGCAAAGTAAAGCATTTTGGAACAGTTCCTCTTGCTCACACCATTTGGAAACAAATTAATAGTCAATGGACTGCAACTTATTAAACTGGGTTAGGACAGCGGATCAAAGCGTGAATTAACGCATTGCCTCGCAAGTGTTTTACATTAACTTGTTACGTTCAGGTTGTAGGCTACTACATTTAAACAGTCAGTCAGTCAGGCTAAGCACATAGATTGAGTGGGAGATCCATTTTAGATTCAGGCCTTGAACAGAGCTTTAACCAAGGGGCCAGCAGCTTATAAGTTTTGTACAATGTGCAATATGCATATAGACATATTAACCTAGAAACGCTATATCTATAGGCCTATGTAGGGTGTTTATAAACCAGATTATAGATGTGTGCTTCTAAATATGGCTTCCATAGGTGCTTGTAGGCCTTTATGAATGTCTGCTCGCATCACTCTGACAAAATATAATATATCAAATATAATATAAATATATATTTTGTGTGCCCATTTCACTCAATAGTGGGGTTTTAGAAATAATCTTACTCTTCAATTTCCTATAATATTCCTTAAATGTCTTTGTTGCAACACTTCACCTGTGATACTTAAATAACCCTCCAAAAGATATTACTAGCATACTATTAATTCTGCCCTGGGAGGCTGGGGGAGAAGTGGTAAAAAAAATGAGGGCGAAAACCCACTCGAAGAATAATTTGGGTATTCTGGTTTGTTTATCAATTGATACTGACTGGACAGGTCATAATCACACCGTGTTTAATACCTTTCTCGACAGTTTTACTAATGCTTTCACATGGACATATAACTCACGCTGACGCAAAGGATTCTTATACTTCCTTTAAACCGTCATTATTTAGGTAACAAAATCTGTCATTCCATTCATCCGGATGGAACCGTATTAAATCATTTATATTTTCCAACATCATTTGCTTGTGCCGATTCAAGGGGCACGATCGGTATAAAATAATCCAGACCTGTGCAAAACATGTAAAATGTCATTAATGTATTGGGTACATTTTCCTGGTTCTAAGCAGCACAGATGATACACTAACCACAACATCCCACTGATATCAGCTGAATATGAATATGTTATCACTTTACATATCGTTCATATTATTAACTGCACCGTAGCAAAGAATCATGGCTTAAACTACTGTATGATAACACAATACTCACACTAGAGATTTGTTATGCTTAGTAAGTACCTTTAACAATGCTGCATTAAAGGTGAGTTGTATTTTCTTTTTGTTTCCTCTCTGCCCACTCACTCTCGCTCCATCTGCTGCAGTTTCCCCTGTATCAGTAACACAAGGCATTGATTTTACGGTAAAGTCACTTTGTAAAGG